CGCTGCTCCTCCTGCACCTCCCCAGGAGGTCCACCCCCTGCTCCTCCTCCATGGCCTGCAACAGGGCATTTGACCGCTCCACGGGGAGCGGGTTAACCCTTTCCACAGCAGGACAGGAACGCCGGTTCTGCCACCGAAGGAATCCTAAGGGTGCCTTCGCTCCCACCGCCACTGCCCCAAGCTCAGCTGGAAACAGCAGTAGCGGACCCTCCGCGTCCGTACCTGGATGCCTGCTGCCTCAGCTCTCCCCGCCAGACAGCTCCGTTTCAAAAACGCCCCTTGCAAGTAATTAAGCGACCTTTCAGCAGCTTCTCCACCGTTACTCGTTCTTCACAATAGGCGTTATTTTCCATCTCTCTAAAGTTGCTAGTGTAAGACCAGTTTTACAAAGTTGTAAGTTTGCCGTATAATCCTCAGCTACGTAAAAGTTACTGCCACAGAAAATTAGTTGGCTCAGGCCTTCATCAGTGTTTAAAAAAAAATGACTACTTAAGTCTGCCAATTGAAATATAACATCTAATTAGGAATCCTCTGATTAATCATTACTCTTCACCATCTTGGATACTGCTTTGATAAATGAGGCTTAGGAGTCTTGCGAAGTCTTAATTACCAATATTCCAGATGGCCAAGGGCTGTGCACAGCATTTCTCCGGGCAATGGCAGGCATCTATATCACCAGTAAACCCATACACACACCCCCCGGCTGCCGTAGCACCAGCTGACCGCGGCGGCAGGTCCACAAACGGGGCCCTTCTCATGCAAGCCGCTCAGTATCTAGGGTTATAAGACCCGTAGCACACCGAGGAGACAAGGCCCCAGAGTCTAACATGAGAAGAGACTCCCGTTGTCACCACGTGAAGCTTTAGAGCCCAAGGAGACGTCTCCCAAGCTACCAACAAAGATGGCATTTAGAGCACATCTGAAGGACTACGTGCCTAAACGCAGCCAACAAGGCGTTGCACCAAACGAAATCAACTTTTCCTTGTAGGGGAGGAGCGAGTGGAGTACCAATGGGATAAAGCACCACGGAATAACGATGGGGAACAAGCAGCCACCCTCAAGGATTCAGGCAAGCGACTCCAGAGCCACCCAACCCATTCCACCACTTTGAGGAGACACAGCAGGCGTTCCCAGCCAGCCCATAGTGCAGACCCAGCGACCCGCGGTCAGTGACCCAGCAGACCCATCTCCACAGACATCCCCTTCCCCACAGTGCCATCAGGAGCTGCTCCAGCCACAGCAATGAAGCCAACGGCACTGCCAAGCAGTTTCTAATGCCTTTTTGGGTTTTTTTCCCCTAATAATTCCTGAGTAGCTATGGGTTTGAAAGCAACCCTTTAAGAAGTGTTAAACCACCAGAGACCAGGGTTGCAGTCTGTTGGGAAAGATTCAGCTCTACCAAGGTACAAAGGCCAGCTTGCAAGGGTTTACACAAAAATGGGATAAAGCTGCATCTGCTCTTCAGGTGTGTCCTCCTGCTTTCAGAAAGTCATGGCAGCTCTCATGTCCAGCAAGGGCATCCTCCTGTGTCTCGTGAATTCGGTAGACTTCAGCTTCCACTTCAGAAGTGGCACTTTGGGATATGGTTTAGCAGGCATGGTGGTGTTGGGGTGACAGCTGGTCTTGATGATCTCAGAGGTCTTTTCCAACGTTAATGATTCTGTGATTCCAAGCGCAGACTCCCAAAGTGTTTGCACCCACCCTCTCCCACCAGGTCAGCACCATCACAGCTGGTTAGCACAGCACCCAACAGCAAGAGCACCAACTTCCCGGCATCCCGGCCTTCAGTGGTGGGGAAAGACAAGATATCCAACAATACAAGCTATACCTAGAAAAATTAAGTTGCACGTAAATCCATCATCTGGTACATGTGAGTATTTGGGAATCCAGTGAAACCACCTCTATACCCAGCGTGAAAGATAGCATACAGCAAAGCAGAAAATGTAGTTTTGACCTCGAGCAGTGCTTGCTGACTGCAGGATTTCACAGAACTACCCCGACTCGCTCAACCTCTTGTAGAAGGCAAGTGGTCTCAGGTACCCTGCAAAATCAACCCGCTATTACTAAGCTTCATTTGGGAAGATTTCTACTCGTAACACAAGCACTCGGATAAGAGCAATACAAACCAGTTTTCAGACCACGCTTTTGGAGATTGAGAGATGGATCCGCTCATTGCATCTACCACAAAAGCCTAACTGCTCTTTCTACCTTATAGGTCAAAGAAATGAAAGCAACCTTATCTGTAGCTAGCCTTTGCAAATTTTAGCACAGCTTTCTGCCAAGGATTACCCTCTTCACATCCCGAGAGTGCAGACTGTGTCTTTTGGTGGTGCACGAGGGCCAGGCCACGCAGCGCTCTACCTGCTTTTGTAGCAACCTGACGGAAAGAAGTCCCTAGGAAAGTCCTTGACAAACCAATCTGTTTAACATAATCTGTCCTGAAAAAAAACCTCCTGTAACTCTTGGGTTCACTTAACCAAGTAGACCAGAATATAACCACAGCTGCCAAAGCCTTTGGCAAGTCTCACTGCTCTGCAGTCAGTGCTTTGCAATCTGAGAGCATCTTGCAGACTCAGGAGTTTTTTCAGGCATTTGCAGTTAACAGCTCATGTAGACAAATACATTTATCATCTGGAGGTGAGAACGTTGGAGAGGGTATTTTATTCGGTGTAGAGATTATGTTAGATTTTCTCCTCCAGCCTAACCTCACCTGAAAATGCAGCAAACCCACTTCCACAGTTCCTGTCTGGGGATTACCAGACCATGCAGCGTTCCAAAATGCAGATATAAAGCTCCTCTGGCTGACTCCAAAACTCAACCTTGCTATATTTTTCCCTTTTATATATTCAGATAATTTGTTACACATACAGATGAAGCGAATCCATGCTAGAAATCCGAATCAAACATCCTCCACCACACAAATCAGTATGTAGGCTAGAAGTTAGTCCTTTTAGCTTTGCGGGAAGCTTGATGAAGACTGAGAAGTCCTCATTTAGGAGGCAAGACTAGAGTGAAGATTTTTCCCTGTTCATTCTTCCTAAGTTTTATGTATTTTTTTGGCTGACTGAGACAAAATCAGCAACAAAGATTACTGAAAATATTTTACGCAGCTGCAGTATAAACACAGCCCAACTGGGGAACTGCAAGCTTACAAATAAACCTGCAACAGGTTTGCGTAACCCAGAGCTAAGACACCTCAACTTCTACAACACGTTCAACGGTATAGACAGCTCACAGAAATATGCTTTTAAACCCTCAAATTACAAAATCCCAATACAAAGTAAGGAGGTTTACTCACACAGGTTACTTTCCGGTAAATTTGAGCAGCATTCTGGCATTCTGAGTAAGGGTATTCTGAGGTAGCCATTTCCAACATGCACATTCCAAAAGCGTAGACATCCACGGATTCATCGTAGTGTTCCTCATACATTTCCGGGGCCATGAATTCTGGTGTACCTACACAGACACGCACAAAAAGAAGGTAATTTTTTTATAAAGTCTAAATGGCTTTAGCCACAGTCTCTTTCACCTGTAAGAAATGAGCCCATAATAGCTGTGTAAGGGTGCACGCAGGACTATTTCAGAAGAGGGAAATAACTACCATAAGCTCAAGCATCCTCCAGGGAAGAAACCCAAAGGCAACACACACACCCCTACACACCCATGGCTCGCTGGTAATAATACAAAGGGGAAGAGAGAAAAAGAAAAAAGTATCAAAATTCCGAAAATGAACAAGAGAGATACGGCAGGTTGCCTGACCATACTGGATGTCACAAAACTTTCTTTTTCTGGGTGCAGAGAGGGATGCATACAGGCTTGCGGAGGTGAAAGGAGGAGAAATGAGAACCTTTACTCCTGTGTTTATCAACACAAATTTGCTTTTTTTTCCTTCCAGCAACCCCCCCGCAGACAGACAGCACTTTGAAAGCAAGCAGTATCACAAATCACCTACAAAGTCACGCACCAAACATTCAACGTCATTCTGTCACTGGTTTAGTAGGACAAACCAACGAGGCTACTCACAGAATAAGGTCCTACTCAACAGGGACTGGGGTGTCAGAAATCTGATGCAACTGGATAAATATTAAGCGAAGCACAGTACTCACTGCTTCGTAATGGGAAGTTGCAGCTTTACGACAAGTGGTAACTTGCAACGCCTGCAACGTTTGCACAGCAAACTACTCTGAAAAGCAGGGTCTTCTACAGCACAAGGGGAAAAAATTAACACCTAGGTAATTTATTCCAGGAACTGTATCTCGTAATGTAATTTATGCTTAGGAGTCAAGACTAATTTATTTCCTTTTTACATTCAGAAAAGACGAAGGCAGGCAGATCGATGCAGCCACGTGCTGTGAGAAGGACGAGCGCGCTGTGAGCAGCGGGATGCCGAAGGAGCGCGAGAGGTCTCAGACCACGAGAAGGACCAGGACAAACTCTGCCCACCCAGCCCAGCAGCAGCCGCCTCGGCACCCAGACTGCCCCCGAGCCCCACGGGCCCCTTAGTTCTGCGTTATGACACCTCCACATCAGCAGCACAAGCACAACTGTGATTAAAGTAACATATCCTGGGCAAAAATGGTTCTTGTGCATGGCTGGGGACTTGACGTAAGCTTTTTTCCAACGGCAAGATAACCGACATCTCTCAAAATTAGGATCTATCAGTAAAAATTTTTGCATGCTTCCTGAAGCAGAATCATAGAATGGTTTGGGTTGGAAGGGACCTTGGAGATCATCTGGTTCCAACCCCCCTGCCATGAGCAGGAACTCCTTCCACCAGCCCAGGGTGCTCAGAGCTCCATCCAACCTGGCCTTGAGCCCTGCCAGGGAGGGGGCATCCAGACTTGGCCTAACTCACAAAACAAGCCGCAGCACATGCATTTCTGTAAAACTCATTTCACGAAATTCGGGATCGATCTCTCCTCCTGTTTATGTTCCTTCTACCTCAAAGACACTCATTCCTTCAGCCTTTGTAAATCAGTCTGACCCACGTCGTGAAAGCTTAACTCGGTGCCTGCTCTGAGGGTTTTTCTCCCAGCAGTCACCCAGGTGGTGGCTGCTGCTCCGAAACGGTTAACAGCCACCACAGAGAAGGGTTTTTGGAGCTGCTGCCTTGTTTCAGAAGGAAAAAGACTCAGGCAGGAGTGAACCTCATAAATTATGGAGCATTTCAAGCAAATCTGAAAAAGTGATAGCGATCGTCTAAGAAGCAAATGAAATTCTTGACACCGTTCCAAAATAGCAGGAAAACGACATTTCCCCCCACCCCCCGGGGGTGGGAAGGCACACATACAGGCAGCCTTAAACAAACCCGACCACCTAAACGTAAAGCCGCTCGGCATCCGTTCAGCTCCTCCTGGCAGAAGGAGCTTTGCCCTGGCTCAGCTCCCCGCAGAGATACACTGCAAGGTCAGACCAGCATCAGCGAGGGCATGAACGCAGCAAGGGAAGAACTGGAGCTCAGCCACGCTGACTTCATTCTGCTCAAGCCGCTGTAAAATCACAGCTACTAATATCCCTTTAAAGCTACTACATCCACGGAGGGGGCAGAATTACTCATCTCACCAGCGCTTCCAAGCCCTCCTCGTTCCTTCCTTGGAGCAGCACTGCTCATGAGAGAGATGAGCTCGGTTGTACTGCCAAAATGAACGCCAGCAACCTGCAGCCCTTTGCAGCATGGAATTTTTCAGGCACGAGCATGCTTTGGTGGTGTTGTGGTAACAACTGATTTTACAAAAACTTGTATTGGTATTACCAATATTATTCCCAGCATTGGTATTACTGATATTATTCCATTATGTCCCATGGGCATTTGTTATACTGCAAAAAAGTGATGTGAAGAAATGCTGACCCTCAACAGAAAAAAACCTCGTCAATTCTTCGAAGCTAAACACTGGAGAAACTTAACAGATATAAACCAAAATGACTGCACTAAAATCATCGAAGTTAAGCAGACCCACAGTAGCCAAGCACATATCCAAAATTTCTGTCATTCTGACTTCACAATACTGGGCTCCCTAAACATTAAGGTCGATAGTTTTGTACAAATAATTGTAAAGAGCTATAATCCCTGAAAACTGGAGATGCTAAAATAACTATTTAAGCAGCCACTGCTCGAAAGGTAGGATGCTATTTTCGTATCTAGTAGGGGAACAGTGGCTGTCGTTATCAGTTTGCTAACTCTAGTTACCTAGAACTGAATTTCCATTTATATTATGAGCCGAAATACAAAGACATGCACGCGAACTCCCCCCATTTTCAGCACCATCTCACAGGAGTCGGCAGTTTCTGAAAACCATCACCTACAGATCTGAACAACGGAGATTTGGTATGGAATTTTCGGTAAAAAGAAAAAACACTACAAGATGTTTGAGGATTCAGGAAAACATTAGATTCACGCAGAAAACGGCGAACGTAATTTTTGTGAGGAAATGACATCCTTGGACAGTCACTCAGAAAGCAGCCTCCCAGCTCACACAAACCCCAGTTCTAACGCTCCTCACGCGGGCACCACCTCAGGGCACCAGCTCCTGCACATCCTAGTGGAAATTTCTTTTTGATTTCATACCCGCTGACTTTTAATGAGTTGCAGATGCTGTTTCACAGAATCACAGAATGGTGGGGGTTGGCAGGGGCCTCTGTGGGTCACCCAGCCCAACCCCCTGCCCAAGCAGGGTCACCCACAGCAGGCTGCACAGCACCGCGGCCAGGCGGGGCTGGAATATCTCCAGAGAAGGAGACTCCACAGCCTCCCTGGGCAGCCTGGGCCAGGGCTCCGTCACCCTCAGAGGGAAGAAGTTCTTCCTCGTGTTCAGCTGGAGCTTCCTCTGCTTCAGTTTGTGCCCGTTGCCCCTTGTCCTGTAGGGGAGATGTTCCAG